TTGAAGGAGATCACCAATGCTTCCAAACTTATTGTACAACTACAAGTAAATCCTTCTATGAGCAGTGAATTCACATTCATTCATCTCGATTTTATCTCATTGTATCATGACCAAACGGTACCTATTCGGGAGATCTTGCAGACATTGGTAAGGTTAGATTACAACCAGCACAAATCTTCACAACTCCTGTGGGTACACAATTAAAAGGCTGAACACAGCAAGTATGCTTTTATATCAACAGATGAGTTTTCTTTTATTACTGATAGGCGGAAGTCAGCCAGCTAACTTCTGAGACCACTCATGATTATAGCACCACAGTGTTTATAAAAACAAAGTTTGTTTCTATTCGGCAGGATCATTCTTCAGTAAAATAGGATGCAAACTAATAATAAATTAACTCAACTGGACTCCGTACCAAAAGGGTTTCAGGCGAACCATAAATATCAACTCTCATCTTCAAGAGGGAAAAGAGAGCAAAAAACCAACACAAAAACAATTGCTATTGGCTGTGCGATGTCATGTTTCCCATGGAAGACCAAAACCTCGTGCACTCTCTTCTGTCAGGCATCGTAACCTTACAAAGATGTGTTCTTGTTGGGAACATGAAGGTCCAAGGTTCTGAAAATCTTTACCGCTGTGGCTACGTCTTCAGGATTATTATACCTACCAAAGAAAGAGGACCCAAATTAGACAATAGAATCTTCATCCGACTGTTACTGCGTTAAAAAATGTCCGTTCAAAGAACTCACTCGGTTTGCGTCATAGTTAATCTCCACCCTAGAATCATCATGCGGGGAACCATTGTTGTTCTGATCAGCATCTTTGAAGGTACCATCCAACCCTCCGAGAGACTCCACGGTTTTGGAAACCTCTACGCTCAGCTGAACATGCTTCTCTTTTAGATCAGGGGAGCTTACAGCAGCAGCGACTCTCTGCTTAATTTGGTTTTCTAGAGCTTCAATTTTATTTCTGGCAGTTGGATCAGGCGTAGTTCCTGCCTTTGCAACCTCCACTTTCAGCAACTGGATCATATTTTTAATATGTGGCGAGTTGATTGCATCTTCAATCTTCTTGTTAGTTTCTTCTTTGAGAGTTTCAACCTTCGCCTTCAGCTCTGGGAGAGAAACTTGCTCATCATCTTGTTTTGTACTCGGTTTCACAACCTCAACATCAAACCCCAAGGACTTGAGGTCATTTGCCAATTCCACATCTATCTCTCTCTTCATCCTGCCAATCCTCTCTTTTGTCTCCCGATCAGGATTCTCAATCCCAGAAGCACGTAGCTTTTGAATCTCAGCCTTCAATTCTTCAATCTTCTCCTTTCTCTCCGGCCTACCCATGATGATCTCTTTCAGCTTTTCATTCATCTCCTGCTTCAGTTCCTGAGCCTTATTGTTCCTCTCCGAGATGCTCTTCACTTTAGAGAACTCATTCAACATATCAAGCTTATACTTGAGGTTCCCATAATTTGGAGCAGTAGAAAGGCCTTGATCAAATTCATTTTTCAGTTTCTCAATCTTGTCCATCAGTGACGGATGCATGAGTTGTTGTTCTGAGTTTGATTTCCTGAATTCTTCCCTTAACATCGAGATCCGGTCTCCTAGGCCGATGGAATTAATAGCTTCAGAGAATTCGAGATCGACCTCCCGCTTCAGTTTTGTTATCATCTCGTCCAGAGCTAGTTCTGAGGGCTTGTTGTCAGCAGATGACTCCATAGCTTTGAAAATTTGCTTCTTCACCTTTTCAACCTCGTTCTCTAATTCTATAACTGGGATCTTTCCTGAAACGGATTCTTCTTTCTTCTTCATATTGACCTTTCTCTTGGGATCAATAGGAATGCCCTCCTGAAACCCACCGAGTTTCCGGAACTTGAGATTACGATGTTTTAGGAGGTTTTCTGTGTCCAGTTTGGTGAGCTCCTGGAGAAAAACGCAAGATTTATGTTAAGATGCGAAACAAATAGATCTTATACGGGAAGATCACAAAACCTAGATTTTCACTTACATCCATAGATTCAATAATTGCTTTCTTTATCTGTTGTGAGGTCCATGAGGGATCTGCATGTGCCCCCCCAAGTGGCTCCTACAAAACAAGAAAAAGGTCGTTTCATATTCTCAGGGATGGATCAAAGAGACTTGAGCTTATTAAAAGAAGTGGACATAAAGAAGCAGACAGAAAAAGACAAAACACAAGTTTGATAATAGATCTTAAGAATAGAATAAGGCTAGAGGATTGTACAGGTATTATCCCGTCGCAAATCTGCAGCTTGCACAATTCATTAGCAGTAATCTTCAGCTTCTCGGCAGCCTATTAGCGAGAATAAGAAACAAGAAACACAGAAACAAAGACCTTGCTGTCAAACAAGGGACTACAGTATTTCAGTTAATCAAACACATAAGTGACCTACATAACGTGAGAAAGTTAGAATGAAACAAAACCTTTGGAGAAGCTTTGGCAGTCTTCCACAAAATCGCGGCACATGCTTCTGGACTATATTTCCAAAGAGAGAAGTAGTTAGGAGGCAATCTATTGGTAAGCCTCAACATGAGTGCATGCTGCCCATCATAAATTAATGACTTGGAAAGATGCTAGAGATAATGACTTGGCATAACTTCTTTTTACTGAAATCATGGCGCCATTCAGATAAGGACACACGGAGGGGGGGACGATTTGGTTAGGCCTTCTAGCCCATTATAAGAGATACATAGCAGCTTAAAGTTTGTCTTAGCTGGATCAAGATAATAACATAAGAGAGTTGAGACTAGCAAGGCTATTCTGAGACAGACCACGAATATCAACAAGCTGACTAACTACCGCTTACAAATTACAACAACAACAACCACGAGCCTTGTTTAAGACATGCAGCTGGCATAAGCAACAATATTATGGAAAAGAAAGCCTAGAGCCGGACTGAAAATTACCTTGCAACATAGAAGACGGCATTTTCAAGCATCAACAATTTATTAGCACAGCCTATGGCCAGAGCACCACCAGAGCCACCCTCACCAATAACAATTGAAATTATTGGTACCTTTAGACCAAACATGGTCCTCAAGTTGTGAGCAATTGCTTCACCCTGCATGTGCATAAGGAGAATGCATCAGCTGAGAGGCATTTCATGAAAAGTGCAAATATTGTACATCATAGCGAAAAAACATACTTGGCCTAGCTCCTCAGACTTAAGGTCGGCAAATGCTCCAGGCGTATCAATAAAAGTAACAATGGGGAATCCATGGTGATCTGCATAATACATCATTCGTAGAGCCTTCCTATAACTGTTCACCAATAAAATCAACCAATGTGTGAGATACGATAAACCATACTTCAGCATATATATAACAAATGATGGACAAGATCTTGTTGTATAATTTTTTACTATGATGATCAAATAAAATATGATCAAATCAAACATACCCATGAGGTGTGGGCATCCCGAAATTGCGCATAATATTCTCTTTAGTGTTTCTACCCTTTTGGTGGCCCATAAACATGTATCTTTTACCATCTATAGTTCCTATCCCAGTTACAATAGCAGGATCATCATAACCTGCTCGGTCTCCATGAAGCTCCACAAACTGGAGACAAAAATAGATACCAGGAAATGAGTTCAGAGGCATTCACCAATGCATCTTCATCTAACTAAATAAAGAAAAAGTGCAGTTGACAGCTATCAGAATGGACCATGCATATGCTGCAGCAAACCTTTTCTGTGATGCTAAAAACATGATCGAGGAAAGTGGGCCTGTTAGGATGCCGTGCAATGTTCACACGTTGTATAGGGGTCAAATGGGTATACAAATCCTTCAGGGCCTGAAACAAAACAAGAACACATTGAAAATTGAAATGCCTAAACATGAGTCCAGCAGCATGGACATTTTACACGGTACTTCAATGAAAGTTTCCAAACCCAACAATCCATAGACAGAATACCCCGTGCACAATTCCTCCATATTGAATAAAAAATGAACAAGTAATCTACTATGACTAGTTACCCACAACCATAAGACTTATCAAACCTGTTGATATTTGTTCTCCAATGAGACAATCTGATCAGTAAAGTCCAGACCAGTATCATTTGCCATCTTCCTCACCTGCACCACCCAAGAAGGGGGGAAACAAAAGTTTTGAAGCAGTAAGTGAAGAACTATGAAGACTAGTACTACAAATTCATAGAAGAAGGAAGAACTAAGAGAGGGAAGAGTGAAATTTACATCAATGATCTTCCTTTCCAGATCAACGAGAGGCTTCTCGAAATCCAAAGTGACAGGCTTTGGCCTCTCTTTCATAGGCTTAAAATGAGAGAGGTGAGAAAGGACTCCGCCCTTGACATTGGGATCCGGATCATCGGGCCATGGATACTCGTGCTTCTTAACCTTTCTAACCTTGGCCACAATTGACAAATCCCTAGCTCGCGAGCTGGACCCTGCCAACTGCTTTCTCCCTAAGGTTCTCAAAGGGATACCGGAGATACCACTGCTGGAGCTCCGGAGAAGATCCGAAGCCTTTGGCCCGGTGAGTGCAGCTGGAGAATGCGGTAAGGTAGCCATTCTCCCCAACTCCAAGGTCAGCGCTCCGATCAAGTCCGCAGCTAGTTAACGACTCCCACCCAAGCTATATAAATAACCAACCGCTCTCACCAAATTCGAATCTGTGAAAAGCACAAGCTCATTCAATTCAATTATAAAGAAACAAGCAGCTCGCTTATGGCGGCTGAGCAAACGGGGAAGAGAAAAGAAAAGACAAAAAAGAAGCATTTCGAAGGTCGTCGAATCCAAAGCATCACATTAATCCAGAAGCACTGAACGAAGCAAGCAAGAAATGCCCAAGCACCGAAACAGGCATCGGTACTAATTTTCATCCATTATCAGGAATTGAAAACAGATACAAGCACGCAACAAGCTGAAGAGGGGAGGCGAGGGAAGAAGAAGAAGAAGAAGCGACTAAGGAGAGGGAGGAGAGATTTACCATGAAGAAGCAGCAGGATGTCGCAGAGGAGTGAGGTTTGAAAAGGGGGAGAGAGAGGATTAAGAAGCAATGCGGGAGAGGAAGGAGGGGGAGCTTCGTGGAGATCGTCAGTGAAAGGGGTCGCTGGTTTTGGAATTTTGTCAAACACCAAGGATACAATTCATTGATTCACACACAGGGAGAGGGGGAAGAGAGAGAAAATGGTTGGGGGTTGAGCTGTGGTTTTTGAGGGGGCGAGGCGATACTTCTTAGGTGAAGTTTTTTTCGCGATGGGGAAGGGAACGAATATGAATGGACGGCTGGCTGGCTTGCTTGCTTGCTTGTTTGTGCTCACAACGTGGCACGTGGGCCGTCAAAACTCTTTCTTCGCATTGGAGTTGGCCGATGGGTTCGATGTTTATCCCCTCGAACTCGACTCCACCCAGATAGATAGATCCTCTCCCTCCTCTACATTTCCTCCTACTTCTGTTCTGGCCGGGCCTGTCAGCAGATATTAAGCCCTAGTGTCATGCTTCCTGGCTCCTGCATACATTTTGATTCCTTGTTACCGTACCACGGTGATTAACCCAAACTAGTCCTTCGTTATTTTTCATTTTTAACCACCAAGCTCTTTCCATTTCAATGAAGAAATACGGGTGATTAGTTGCAAAGCAAATTCTATCGAAGCATATGCAAGACATAAAAGAATTACGGATGTGGATCTAATTAGGATGTAGAGCATTGCCATTACACTAATCGGGTTTGACATTAGCCCGACATGGTAAAAATCAAACCTTAACCATATAAAACACAAGCCAATATCATAGGCATTACCTCAATCCAAGCAAACATAAAACCTTTTGCTCCGGCCACAGTCATTGAAGATTAATAAAATTAGAGAACCAACCAAACCATTAATATTTTGATCCTGGGTGTTGGATATGGCCACTAGATTACTTGTGAGCCTTAGGAACGATAAATCTTATGTGTACAACATATCGAACGGAGTCCTAGCACCCGTCCGGGTATCGTTTCCACAGGGTTTTATGGTAGTAAACTCAAGTTCTGTTAGTTTTGGTCTTCAGCAACCTACATACGAGAGCAGGCTGGAATTTACAGGAGTTGGGTTAGGTCAGCCGACAGCGGAGCCGATCGGGCTCAGGATGGTGGCGCATGGAATGGGTCTAGGGCTGACGATAGGGCTGGTAGGGGTAGCCGGAGTTGTGCCGGATACTAAGCCGCTTTGAGCCATAACTCTCGGGCCTCTCAATTGGGTGGAGGCAAACCAAATGGGCTGGACAAGAGGAGCTTCGTGGGCCGGAGATGGAGGAGGCAGACCGAGCGGAGCAACTTTGGGAGCAAGCGACCATTGTGCTTGGCCAAGTATGGGCGGAGGAAGCTGGCCACCAGCAAGTGGCGAGGAGGGATGGAACGGGCCGCATTGGCCAAGGAATGGCCCAGTAAGTTGGAGTGTGTCCGGGGGAGGTCCGTCATCGGGTGGAGAAATGAACCGAGATGAGTATCGGTCGAGACTATTCTGACTCAAACTAACCCTACTAGAGTTCCCAAATTTCAACGGTAATGAAGACCCATTCGAATGGTTCGCGGGGTGAAACAATTTTTCAAATTTCAAAATAATCACGAGGAGCATAAGGTACCGCTTCCATCTCATCATACGGAGGGCGATGCAAATCAATAATGACGATGGATGGGTCGCATGTACGCCACGTCGGGGATGACAATTATATGGCACGATTTTGAGAGGAGAGGTGGACTCGATTTGGGCTATCGGAAGGAGCTAATCGATGTTGAGGAGCCAGTGTTGCCCTGCCTCCCTGTACAACCGAACCGCAAAGTCATCCCCAAATGTGGAGAAATCCCGAAGGTAGGGATGATCAAGATTTAACCATTGCCTACAAAAACACACACACAACCACACACCGTACATATATAGTGGAAAGGTTAGAGCTGCAATTTGGGGAGAACAAAGCTCCCCCCACACACACATACACACTCTTAAGTAGAAATCATTGGGTCATGGTTGGTATAGGGTGTAAACAACATTAGAAGCATACTGACTCACTCTGAATATCACAATTAATTCCCGCCTAAGGACCAAGTATAAACCTTAGTAGGGTGCAATACTGGGCAAGTATGTTTAAATATCGACTCGGCCGGTCTGTGTACCCCTACTTCAATTGTTTGAAACATTATCTAGCAAATCGGTTTTGGTTGAAAAGTTTGCTAATTAAAGTAAAACAAGGCAAAAGTAAATGGTTTTGAAAGCTCTTTGTGAGAAGGATCACTCGGGTGTCGCTTCCCCCTAACTACTACCATGGCATGTGAATCGAAGTGATTGTTATGGGCAAGGTGACCGCGAACCGCTAGGAAATATAACAATGGTCGTAGACCACACTCTCGATTGCCAAACCAAGGGTTAAATTATAGGCTACTCAAGTAGCCCTCTTGGTTAAGGCAATCGATGGTTGACTTACTCTCTCACTCAAACCAAGGTTTAGTTGGCTTAATCGCGCTTAACCAAATTGTTTAATTCAACATAGAGGTTTGCCCTACATTAACCTAGATTGGTGACTTAAAAAGCCCAAAGAATCCCAACTCAATTGAGCCTCCCTTGAAAGGGGGTTTTCCCTCTAATCTAGGTTAGAATGGCCAATTGGATTGCTAAGCACAAACATGCACATCAACATGAAAAATACCCCAATCATTAAATTAAACAACACCCATAAACAATCATCCAAACCACACAACAACTATATGGTAAATAGTTAGGGTTTCACAACACCCAAGTGAAAAAGGAAACTACTCCATGCTAGAAAGGGGAAGAACACAAGAGGAGGAGGTAGAAACCATCATGGTGATGCCTCCAATCTCCTTTGAGCTTGTGTTGATCTTCTCTTGGAGAGAATCTTCCCAATTCACCACTTGGAGCAAACCCTAACCTTCTTTCTTCTTTGGTTCTTTCTTTCTCTCTCTAAAATCTTAAGAAGAAGACACTTTCTCACTCTTTTGCTCTCCCCTCTCTCTTCCTTTCATCTCTCTTTTTAAACAAGGATCGGGCTCAGTTCACGACCTCAGTTCATGGTCGTGAACTCTTGAACGCGTCCGTGAATTCAAGTTTGGCGTCGAAACACACCGCTTCGCTTGCTCAGGTTCACGGGCAACAACTCCAGTTCACGGTCTTAGTGACCGTGAACTCTCCTGGCGTCAGTAACTTTGATAAGTGCCCTGGACGCCTTGATGTTCACGGTCCATGCCTCCTCTTCACGGTCTTAGAAGACCGTGAACTGCCGGTTTTTCACCTCTTCTCCCGGTTTTCGCTCCTTTTCGTCCAACTTTCGACTTCGGGGATGGTTTCACCTGTTAGATCCTGAAACGTGCTAAAACACAAGAAACCTAGCGTAAAACCACCCTTTTAGGAGCACAATCGCCACAAACGCCTAAGGAAAACGGGGGTAAAATGCTTACAATTAGGCCCGAATCACATACAAGGGAAGCATAACCGGGTTAGAGCCAACCATGGACATGAAAGTAGGGGTACGCTAGATAGAAACTGAATCAAGAACAACCCTAATTAATGCAATGAAACTCATCAACTAACCTCACAAATAGGTATCAAGCCTAGGCATTATATCAAACACATGATGGGCATCAAACATAACATATTGAAACGATCAAAACTGTGCCCACCAAGGAATCCTACAAGCATCATACATGCCATACCATATGCATACAAGCATCCTACATCCAATCCCTTGCCTAATTCGAGCATATCAAGCAAAAATACCAAATTCTTCACCTAAAAACCCTAGGATTCAATTTACCAAAATTGGCTATGTAAAAGGTAAATACACACATGGAAAATCAAGTAGAAGCCCAGGGGAAGGTGAGGAGAAGGGGAGGGAGACAAAATTTGTCATAAGTCACCGAAGGGGCTTGCTGGAGGCTCACCAAAATCTCGTCGCCAGTGAAGCAACCGCCGCCAATCGTTGCCAAAAAGTAGGCAAAGGTGCCCCCTATGAGACATTGTTGGCTATGTGATATTTTTTTTGGGTTTGGGAGGCTGGAAGTAGATGAAATCGGCAAAAATTTTACTGAGACGATGGTTTTTTGGCGGTATTTCAAGGATTTCGGTGAAAGGGGCCACGTCACGGGCATAAAGTGGGTCACAGGTATATATAGGAGACATGTAAAAGGTCACGGTCCGATGTCACAAGTCAAGAAAGTAGACATGACTTTTAGAATGAGACCATGATGTCGACAAAAATCGACTTCGCATGTGAGTTATGTCTCGAAAGTCACGGTCATGACTGTGACATGAACGTTAGCGCCATGACATTCAACAAATTCTAGAGAAAGTTTAAAAGTCACGGTCTGGTTGCAAATTTCATGGCCATGGTCGTGATATTTACAGACATGCTACGACATGCAACAATTCTGCTCAATCGATGACTCTTGGATCTAATTTGACCCATCCGCGCACTGAACTTAAACATTACACGACTATGGACGAACACAATACAACCAAGGGAATGAACACGACTTCAAACTTAATCAAACACACAATACGACTCTATTCACACAATACGCCACCCTAATTATCGGCTTAGGTGACTTAGGGGGCTCACGAGTCTCATCTTTATCATAAAAATCTACATATTCTTCTCTTTATGGCTCATTTGGTCCTCCATAGTTCTTCAATGCTTGATCCAAGTTTCCCTAGGTTGCTTTGTATCTTGAAAACCATAAAAAAAAAACATACAAAGAAGGCATCAAAGAATAAAAAAACACATCCTAGGTCTATTAAAGGCTCATTAACCATAAAAAAAAACATACAAAGAAGGCATCAAAGAAATACAAGAGAAATGACTAAAGATGTATTAATAAAAGGGGAAAATGTATCAAGAATTAGAGTGATAAAAACTATATCAGAACAACCCTATATTATAGTGATAAAAACTACTTGAACTTGGCTTGTCCCCAAACAAACACTACTCATAACCAACTCAATGAATCCTAGGAACCATCACTTGACCATGATCTTAGGTAATGGATCATAAGTGACTTACAAGGTCAAAAATAGCACAAGAGAATCCCAACCATATAAATATGCAAGAACATCATAGCACTTAATTCAAGCATCAATTACTAACTATGCATTAGAGTCTCCCTCCCTCATATCATTTCAGAAGGGCAAAATGCTTTCATCTAGGAACGACAAATTATGGAGAATGTCCTTTTAGTGCATGAGCTTATGCATTACTTGAAAATAATTAAACGAGGTAAGAAGTGGTACATAGCTCTAAATGTTGACATGAAAAATTCCTATGATAGAGTCGAGTGGACCTTTCTACTCACTATATTGGAAACATTGGGATTCAATCTTACATGGAGCCGACAGATACACAAATGTCTCAGCTCATCTTCGTTCTCAGTTCTTATGAATGGTACTCCATTTGGGTGTTTCAAACCCTCGTATGAACTCCACCAGG